TGTTGTTGTTGTTGTTTTGGTGGTGTTGTTGTTATAATATTGATATGTTTAGAAAGAATCGGAAATTTTTTATTGGCGTTCCTCTAAGCAAGTAGACTTTCCCTAGTTTGCTTTCGATTTCTATGAGTTCATAAACTAATTGTTAAATAGAATTTCGAGGAACTTGTATGTTTGAAGACCATGATTATGTTAAACTTCAGGTCGCGACATACAGCCTAGCAACATGCACGCTGATATCTACAGGCTCATTAAACTTTTGCAGATGAATAATTTCGGTCTTAACTGTTCCCTGTTCCCTACAATAAATATAATTGGTGTTTTTCTTATAAGTGACAATGAACGTTTTTACTGCGCTTCCAGAACAAGAAGCTTCCATCTGATGTGAAGACAGACAGTGGTGAGGTCAGCGATGACGATGACGAACAAGAGGATAACTTAGTTATGAATGGCGACTGTAAACTCGAAAGACAAAACAGTAAACAAGGAAGCATAAAACGGCAAATAGGCAAGGTGGGTTCATATTTAAAATCATTGCTGAGCTTGCAAGAGAGGTCCTGTTTTTAATTACACACGACAGACCATCGCAGTCATGTACGCACTTTACACAGAAGCGAAAATAAAGCCTGAAAAAAATTCAAGCTTGAACAGGGTTAAACCCATGACCTGTGCGATACCAGTGCAGTGTTCTACCGACTGAGCTATCAAGCAAACCGTTAGTTGGTCACATTGTCAGTTCGTAATATACCCGTAGATGGTGGAGAATACAAGTGAATATATGAAAGATGATACATTTGAACTGCGGAGACAGATATGAAGACATGATTGATCATCGCAGTTAGGCCTTGAGGACAGTACGTAGTACACAGCGTCTCCAAGTGAAGTGGCCCGAAAGTCGACCAGGAAAGTCTCTATTCTTTTGGGTGTGAAGCTTTTGGCTTCATTGTTTCAGCGGTAAAAAATTTTCTTTCGTTGACGAAACAAAAGTCCTCTTTAACAAGTTTTCGTGAAAGCACTTGAGGGGCTTCCGATTTTTTTTTACCCAATCAAATAATAGCGCGAACACTCGCAAGTGTTTGGAAAGTTGCCGAGTAGGTATGACGTCACGAGGAGAGGTCACGTCACACAACAAGTGCTTTGGCAACGCCCGCAGGCTTTGAAATCTAAATGGTCGAACCTCTGGTTGCGACCACCTCTCGTATGCGACCACCTCTTCTCAGCGACCAGTTTTCCAAAATACCAAATGTTTTCAAGTCAAATCACTATATTTGGAACCTCTCGTAAGCGACCGCGACCACTTTTAGAGCTAAAAGTTTGAAATCTTTTTTATTTTTAACCTCCCGTAAGGGACCATTGGACAGATTATAGAGCGGAAATTGGATAATAAGGTGTTGTAATATTATGGCATTCCTGGGTAGTACCGGATTTTTTTCTCGAAATTGACTTTTCACGTGAATAAGACATGTAAAACATGGGGTAAGTCTCTGCAGTTACCATATGCTAATGAGGCAAAATTCTGACCCAATATGGTCTAAGCTCTCGTAAGCGACCACCTCCAGTAAGCGACCACCAAGGCTTGTCATTTTGGTGGTCGCTTACGAGAGGTTCGACTGTAAGTCACTTGAGTTTTGGCGCCATTGTCGTCACCTAATCCGCTTTATCGTTATTAGCGAGTTTCGGTTGTTGTTTGCTAACAAGACTTTGAGTTGATTTCAAAGCTGTATCTCTCTGCAGGATCCTAACAAGAAACCGAAGAAGACGACTAAGCTAGCAAGGGAGTTATCTGACCTAGTCACGTATTGTAAATCTGTTGCTTTCCAAGACTTCCAGAATTCTACCGAAAACCGTAAGTAGAACGACAGAGAGTTGTTTCACTAGAGTACGAACTTCAGAACTTCACTGCTATTTAGTAGAGGCGAATCTTTGCTCACGTCATTGTTTACATTTTTCCTCATTCACATACGACTTCGCGCAGAGAAAGCATCACGCTAGACACGAATTGACTTCAAACATTTAAGAGCTTGTGAAACTTAGTAATTGGTGAAATTTTTGGTTCTTCGGGTCAGTGTAAAATTCGAGGCGAAATTGGCTTTCAAAAGCTGCAAATTCTGTGTGGCACAAGCGCCAATGAGTTCATACATTCTTGTAAAATTTTGAGCTTTTAAACCCGCGTCGCACAAAAAGTATTCCAGACANTGCTCACGTCATTGTTTACATTTTTCCTCATTCACATACGACTTCGCGCAGAGAAAGCATCACGCTAGACACGAATTGACTTCAAACATTTAAGAGCTTGTGAAACTTAGTAATTGGTGACATTTTTGGTTCTTCGGGTCAGTGTAAAATTCCAGGCGGAATTGGCTTTCAAAAACTGCAAATTCTGTGTGGCACAAGCTCCAATGAGTTCATACATTCTTGTAAAATTTTGAGCTTTTAAATCTGCGTCGCACAAAAAGTATTCCAGACATCGGGGTCAAATTCATTGGGACAGTGAATCGAGCTGCGCCCTTTCAAATGTTGAAAACAAAGATACTCCAGTAAGTGCACAGGTTCTAGGAGAGTGAACAAACGAACCTACGAACGGGTGATTGAGCAAACGAACGAACGCGCGAGCGAAGGAATGTTTGAACGAAAGAACGAACGAAGAAAGGAACGCACGGACGAATGAATGAACCTTGATTTTACATTGGCGAAACCAAATATTGCGCGCACTTGTAGAGAAACACTAAGAGCTTATAGCATTAACTAACGTCGTATTTCTGAATTTTCGTTACAATTGACGTACCACTTCGAAGGTAACGAAAACAAGCCACGGATATCACAAGATTTTCAAAGTACTTAGCAAAGACCCTTATGAAGTTTTAATCTTCCTCTAGTAATTTCTGGCGGTTAAGACTTTCCTGTAATATATCGTTTGTTTTTACTTCAGAAAAATGCTGGGAAATGTGTTCATTTAGTGAAAATGTCGCCAGGAGGTTGACACAGACATTTCCTGAAGAGTTTGTAAACTATAACAAGACGTTTTTAAGCCGAGTGTACCCTGCTGGGAAGAGAGTGGACTCGAGTAACTACAATCCTCAGGAGATGTGGAACTGTGGCTGTCAACTTGGTAAGCTGGGCGAAAAGTGAATTTTAAAACAGTGATTGTAATAACGTGTATTATTGTATGGTTAGCTCCGTGACCGGGCAAGATACACCAAATCCTGCGCTGTGATTGGCTAGGGAGTGGCCCGCTCGGGACTACGTGCTGTGTCCCGCAAGAAAAATGTGTTCGTTATCTTAGATAATAAATTCTTTATTGACCAAGCTTGCTCGGTCAAGATGGCGATAAAAACAATTGGCCAGTATCCAGCCATCTTCACCGAACAAGCTTGATCAATAACCCATAATACGTGTGCATTTTATATTTGGTTAGACTTACTTGTTGGGTCCATTTTATTGAGTCAGCAGTCAAAGAAAGGCTGTTGATGAGTAAATTCTTCTTATCTTGTTTTGAGCTGTTTTCACCTGACTATCGAAGGTAGTTCGCGTTTGCTTTGGTTCTGCGTTACTACGCTGCGTGACTGGCTTAATGAATGAATGAAATGAATGAATCTCGCCCCACTTTTTTATCCAATCAGAAGTGAAAACAAAACCAACTGTGACTCGGTCACTTGCTAATAAAGACGCCTTCATTGCAGGCTAATGGAAATGCGTTTCTCTTTTTTGTCAGTGGCATTGAATTACCAAACCCCAGGTCTTATGATGAACCTAAACACAGGAAAGTTCCTCGAGAATGGAGGATGTGGATATATCCTTAAACCCGCTGTCATGAGAGAAGGTAAAACATAACATCTCTCTGAGCTTGCCATGCATGGAAAATTGACAAATAAAGAAGCCTAAGCCGTGTATTACACTGTGATAAAACACGACGGGCATTTGAGAACACGAGGGAAATGAAGAAAACGCGAGCCGCAGGCGAGTGTTTTCTACATTTCTCGAGTCCTATCTATATTATAAAAAAAAAAACATAAATAGCAGCGGGAAAAGATGGCTGTTCGGTGCAGCCGCTTTTGACTTAATTAATAAAGTACTTTTGTGTTTGCTTGGGTTCCATAAGATGTTTGTGTCTTTTCCTATGCTTAGTGTTAGTTGCAGACTGTCCTACCTCACTTTCTTCGAGTCCCGTATTCTTCTTTTCCCTCGATTTCGGTCGGCTACTCGTTTTCTTTAAAAGCTTAACCCATGGATTTATCTTCTCACGGTAAGGAGATTTGGTGAGCTCTTTTTCGGGGGCTGGGGTGGCATCTTCGCGTACTCTCCGCCATTTACTTATTTTCCTAGCGAGACTGGTGGCATGTTCTGCCGCGCTTATCTTCCGGTACGCGTTTTCCCTCGCTTTCTTTCTGCTGCATGTTTTCGCGCGCTTTCCACCGGTTACTTGTTTTCCCGCGCTTTGCACCGGTAATTTGTTTTCCCGCGCTTTGTACTGCTTATAATGTTTTGGTTCCGTGAGTTTCATTTTTGTCAGGTGTTATGTTTTGATGATTTTTACTATCTGTCTAACCTCTGCATCGTTTCTTCTTTAGAAATAGCATATTTTAATCCAAATACAAAAGATGTTATTCCAGGCGTCTCCCCGCAAATACTGCAAATCAAGGTACAAAGAAGTTTTCATTGTATTCTGACAAATTTTAAAAACGTAACCGTTACAACTCGATTTATTGGGCCAAATACGATTTATCAAGGTTCGACCTTTAATTTTAAGTCAAATAAAATTAGAAATAAACTAATTAAATTATTAATAAATCAATGTTAGTAATAGCGAATTAAACTCCTTTAGTTTTTTTTAATCCACAAATGAACGAATTTCCTGTCGGCAAGAGGTGTTTTATTTCTTTCAATCGCATGCAGAAAAACAGATTTAGATTTCCACAAAGAATTCCTTTCAATCAATCAATCAATCAATCAATCAATCAGTGTATTTAACGTGGTCTGTACGCTTAGTTAAAAGGCTAGTTTTAGGGTACGCCACGAAAAAAACAGAAAAAAAGAAATTATAAGAGCCTTATGAAGGAAGGTATATAAATTTAAATAAATTAAGATTAACAACTAGCTAATATTAAAATATGAGAATTAACAATGTAGACACAAGTAAAATGTATAAGAAAATAGGATCATTAAAAGCAGTAAAAATTGATTAAGGATAGATCCACTTCGCACTAAGAGTCCCGTGAGATCTAATGTTTTTAAGTTGTTTTTAGAAGTAGTGTACGTTTGTATCTTTCGAGACTCGTCCGGTATTGCGTTCCACAATTCTTTCATTTCTTTTCGCAGGTCATTAGCGGTCAGCAGTTTCCCAAACCAAAGGGCTCCACAGCTAAGGGTGACGTAAGTGTAGCTGTAGTTGTTACTGAGAACGTTCTTTCATATTTTTCTGCCGTTGACTGTAATGTTTTGCTTACTGGTATTCTGCACAGGTGATTGATCCATTTGTCACAATCGAAGTGTTTGGCATCCCGGCTGATATTTCACAGGAAAGAACAAGAACGGTTCCTCACAATGGTAGATATTTTTCTTGATGTGATTTGTGTTTGCTTGGCACATTCTGCAGTAATTTTTCAACTTCTTTCTCGGTTTGTCTTTTTTTTTTCTTCAGGTTACAACCCAGTCTTCGACGAAACCTTCGAGTTTCACATCAATCTCCCTGATCTGGCTCTAGTGCGGTTCGTTGTACAAGATGATGATTTCATTGGTGATGGGTTCATCGGACAGTACACTATTCCTCTGAACTGTATCCAACCAGGTAATTCAACTAATGGCGGGAGTTATCGCAGGGGAAAAAACTGAACACCCGTCCCCCTTCACCCCACGGGGGCGGGGAGGGGCGGTTTATGCCTGAGATAACTTGCAGAACAGATCACCGTTTGAAAGGTTTTTAACTGTAGTTGATCGGAAAGTTAACACTGACCCATAGAGTGGTTTCCAATTGAGCTTCGAAAGTAATCCGGCAATTACTTTGGTTTTGTTTTGACTATGATTTGAGATTGGCTGAGTAATCTAATTGGTAAAGTAGCTGGTTTGGTTTTAGTTTTCCGACCCTCAGTTGAAAACCGCTACGTACACGACAAATACAGACCTGGATTTCCTTGCCATATTTTTACTAAAAGGTGAAAAGTCTGTATAAAAAATATTTACATTGTTTATCTCGAGGGTTTAAGTCTGCTGGGCTCTTGTAACAAATTAGATTGAAGACCGTCCACTAGTGGGCCAATCAACATTCAGAACTAATCCCAAAGTGAGTCGGCACCATGGTTTTCGGGCATAGTTCATTTCGTCGTGTAAGAATGCTTTCGTATGGTCTACTCAACATTATCTCGCGACGGGCGTTGGCCGGGCTATTTGGCGATTGGAAAACGAATCGTTTGGAACGATTAAAAAAACCCACATAAATGCAATTAAAGTCAATTTTCTTGCTCGTTGCCAGGCTACCGACACGTGCGCCTTCTGTCATCACACGGAGAGGAACTGGACTCGGCCACCTTGTTTGTTCACGTGACCATCACAAATCTGAACGACGCTGCGGCTGTAAGTATAACACGTGATCAGTTCAACCCCTTCGGTACCACGATCAAAATTGATTCCTTGTTGATAATTTGATTTCTTCTCTTGGCCTATTTCCTTGACAATGCGGTGTAACTGTAAAGAGAAATTTGACTTTGATTAATGTTGTAATTAAACCAGAAAAAAAAATAGGTCTCTGATAGAAACTGTTGGTAAAGTTGTCTGTTTGATGTGACGTTAAGACGTTTTTTTCACCTTCCAGCAAAGACCGAGAAAAGCTTCTTTGAGGAAGTCAAAGAAAGCGAGGGAGGTAAGTCTTGTCTTTGATGTTACTTTCCTTTCGCTACTGCATGTAGAGTTGTATGTTGCGGAGTTGTCTTGGCGGGGTTTGTATTTCTGTTTGGAATTGATTATGTTTGTAAATATAACTAAATAACAAAAAAAAGAAGGGAAAGAAAATAAAAAAGTACACCATTCTATTGTAGATAACGTAGTTATTTGTTTGTACGTCGAGTAAGTATCTCACTGTAAATGTAAGTGATGTAAGAGTAAAGTATACTTAAGTAAGCAGTGTAAGTATGCAGTCTTAAGTAAATGGTCTTTATTTTGTCTTTGTTGTAATTAATAAAAAAAAATTCTTATAAAGAGAATTGATTATTTGTGTTGTTCTTTTGTTTCTTCGTTCCAGTATACTAGTATGAAAACTGTGGGTGTCAAAGCGGTGGATGATACGTTTAAGGTGAGCTTCTATCAAGGTGTCTCTGAAAATCTAATTTTATTTTACAATTACTTTGTGTGCAGAATGTCCCACTTCGACCTCTGGAACAGAAAGCAACCAAAAGTGTAAATCCACTGTCTTAAGAGACTGAGGATAATTACTGGTTTTGAGAACAGTAATGTGCGAACGTTGTTTGTCTTTCGTATGACTACGAACCAGATTATCCTAAAAGGCAGTAAAAGAAAAGTTACAACTAGGTGATCTTAAGAAGATGTGCTGTTCTTGTATCAGCTGAGAAGTTTGTCGTAAACCAACTGTAAGATGTTTAAGGTATCAGCCAACCCAAAATTGACCGTTTTGTATAATTTTGGTTTTTTCTATGATTCGATAAATCTTAGGAATAGCTTTCGTTTAAAAAAAATCCACAAAAAAATGTTATTCGTACCGGAAGTTATTTAATAAGCGAAAACAATTTTGCCATCTTAGTTATTCTAATAAGCCGCTGACAACTCTTGTCATCGCGTTGTCAAATAAGGAGAGGTTACGTGACAGCTAAGCGCATGTGTGTTTGTGTTTCACAAAACACACGCGATTCGCCATCTTGGAAGCTCTCATAGTTGTCGCCTTGTGAAATCTATGAATGCCTTCGAAAAAGAAAAAAAAATCGTGTCCCTTTCTTCGTCAAAGATAAGACCAAAGAAAGGGAAGAAAGCATTTAGCTGTGAATCGGCGGCAGACCTCGCTTCGAGCGACAAAGGTTCTTTCTTCAACCAAGACGAATGGCTACAAGAAATCGAAGAACATGAACGCAGA